TTCAAACACCTCCATACCCAGCAATTTCACCTAAGGAATGGGTCCTTAAACCAGTCTAGTAGTAGTGCTGGGCTGATCATTTCGAAGTTCACCCTAGTATGGCATCATAACAGGGAGCAATGTTCTGGAAAGAGAAGAATATGAGCAGCAAACTCACGTGCAACGACAGCTCCAAGTTGAAAAACAAGCAGACAGACCACAGTATAATTCATGGCGATGCGAGTAAGGAGTGTGACAAAAATTTGGGAAATGTTATCATTATAGGGCGAATCGGTCGCGGTTTGGCGGATTACAACAGCGCGAGAGCGTTGTGCAAAACACTGCCCCTTTCTTTCTCTCTTGCCTTCTTTATTTTCATCTGACAAATGAGACTTGTTCCACGAGGTCTCGCCATGTCACGATCAATGTAATATGTCCATGAGAAAACCGCATGACGCGTTCGAGTTGATCACTGAGTTGGGTTGGGTGATATTAAACTCATTGAAGCTTGTTCTGGTGCTAGTTTGACAGTGGCCGGTGGAAAGTTGGAGTTGTGAGACAAATCAAATCGGACTTACACAGTTACTGTAGTTGAATTCGGTGTGAGGTTTCTGGGCAGAGGTGTTGTAGTGACAAGTAGCCCGCTTACAACAGCGCACTCCCTAGGTCAAGCCCTGGATCAGCTCCTACTTGGGCAAGCCAAGCCCTCCATCCCTCCAAGTATATTAAACCTCGCCTTGACTGGGAGGGTAGAAAACTGATCTGATTCCTAAATTGCCGGTCTCTGGAAGTCTTTGTATGTGGCGTTCGAAATTGTAGGACTCTAAATGGATGAAGTATGCGTGCTCATCACAATAAGGCCTGTTTGTGGTCATAAGCGACTCTAAAAATAAAGGATGCGCCCAATTAATCAGCTCACTGGGAACGTCGTGCTGTTTAGAGGCGTACCATATAACGTCACACGAAGAGGGTCGAATGCCCAAAGGTGCGGGCGATAGTACGCCAATCGCACAGTAGTTCGAGCATTCTTCAGTGCTCCCCTTCTCCTACCGGAATCGTCATGCTCTTTTGCCACTAACAGGCATCTTTTTCTCAGTGTTGACGTCATCAAAGGGCTTTGACAGCCATTCTGCAGGGTTCCAGCGCCTTTACCTCCACAGGTCGGCTGCCACACTTTCAAGGTCTATCGCTTGCTTTCCATCTTTTTGAGAGCCGTTGCTGTTCCTCTACGGTTATCGTCTGAAAGGGGTCGTATATTAGTGAGACAAACATGATGACAGGATAAGTTCAATGATCTTTCGTCAAGGCAGTCGCGCCATCACCTCACCTACTACCACTTGACTCATCAGAAGACAGCTTTTTCGATGCCAATACCATGAGTTTCTCCGTATTCAGTCTCGCAGTAACTGCCTCGAGCCAAAACAGGATATCACTCTTTCTTCACTACAACAAGTTAAGGCGCTTTTTTCATATTCGCATATTATCTCAGATTCCTTCGCGATATACTTGAAGTGACTGATAATTAATCCTACGCATTTGGGGATTCCACCATCATCGTAGGCCGCAGCATTCCTGCCTCGTCCACACGCACCGTGAAAATGGGTTAACAGATGCGAGGAACGCACATCAGCGCTCTCCTTCGAGAGCTACTGCCTATTTTTAGGGATTACATTGCTCGAACTTGACTGGCATTGAAGCGTGTGAAGGAACGTGTGGGGTTGGGCTCAAGCTGCGCCACATGCCACGATCGCCGAGTGCTCGCCGACCAAACATTAATGTCTTCACGAGCTTCCCTTGCTGCTGCCTCAATGCATGTCAGGATTTTCTGTGGTGAGAAGTAACTATTCAAAGGGGCTGTCAGGAAGAAAACAAAAAGAATAAGTTCCAGTGAAACTCGATGCATGAACGGTCTTCTCCCTACACGATAGCACTCTACTAATTCGCTGCGGACGGTTGGGCGTGTCGAGACAGTTTAATGAGTTGTGTCACCCCGTAAATGCTTATTCTCATGCCTTCGTTGGCTGAAGTGTGAGTGTGACAAAAAGTGGTAGAAAACGAGTGAAACGAACGTATGTGATAGCAGTCCTATCAATTTGCTTGCTTCAACGGAGAGGCAGGGTTTGGCCCGCCGGACCAAACTTAACCCGCCCTGAAACGCCCAATCGTCCGCAGCGACTACGCTTATGTAATGTCGGCATTCATTAGAGGAGAGGTGCATAGCGCTCCAATCAGAGCTGGACGTCTCCGAGCGTTTGCAAATTCTATTAAAGTTCAACCTTCATTTATTTGAAGCATGTGTACCTATGTACAAATCACCAGAAACAAAAGCAAATGACTTCTTGAAAAAATACCAAAATGGTCCATAATCCAACAATTTACTCGTGACAACGACGACCTGCCGCTAAGAGGCGGAACCCGTTAGGAGATAATTTCAGACAATAAAACCGGAACAACTTATGCGCGATCACAAATGACAAAGCCCTTGTTTTTCCTAACATTTCCTATTATGTATAGTTGCACCACGTGCACAGGATCCTGAATGAAGAAGAGCGCTCGAAGTGCTCCTTTGCTGCGAAGATTTAGGGTCGGTGACTAAATTCAATGCCCACGTCTTCCGGATTGAGATCAGCCTCGTCCGTGTCATGTACAGATGATGTCTTCAGTCTGCGATAATTGTCGAACATTGCGTTTCGACGAGGTGCCAAGAGTACTGTGGCCAGGAGAGACAGCACGAACATTTCGCAGATGATCACGAAGTTGCACACGACTAAACCACGGCATACTTACGCTAAGCCTTGAATATGAACAGAAAAAAAGGCGCCTACAACTGGCGTTCTCCTGAGCGGTTAGTAAAGGACCGCATGTGATCAGGTCGAAACGAAGAAGGACGTTTTGGAAGAGCATCGGCTGCTGAGCAGAAAAGAAAAGTAGCGAGACATCGACGAAGCGGAATATCGTCATGAAGCAGTACTCGGAGAGCTTGTTCTGAAATTTTGCAATGGAATATTCTCATCAAATCTCTAGCTTCTCTCTTCTTGCAACTTCGGTATCTTAGTTGTGAAGTATTTGCAATGGATATTCTCATCAAATCTCCAGCTTCTCTCTTCTTGCAACTTCGGCATCTTAGTTGTAAGTATTCCAATTGTACTGGGCCTTACGATGTTGTTAGGTGGAAAATTTATCAAGTCCTATCAAATGAATCTTTCGCTTAACGTAATGTAGTGAGGCACAAAGACAATTGGAAGATTCTCACCAATTTTCTGTTTTCAAGCTTCTTAACCTGCGAATGCCCTTGCTCTGGGCAATCTCGCAGACCTTGGAGTTTGTCTTTTTTATTAACAATAATTAACTAGGGATCACTGCAAGTTGCCTTAGTCAATTCCATCTAAAGCTTCATGGAAAACTCCAAATCCGTTGCAAGACGTAAGAAGGCAAAGTCGATCGATTATAGAGATTAAAATCTTGTTCAGCGGCAACCTGATAGATAGTATCCCTACCTTTCACAGTACTACGGCCATAGAGGCTGTACCATCTACGGACCGGAGAAGAAGGTGAAGGAAGAAGGTGCTGAGGTCGTGGTGGCCAAACTAACCCACCCATCACTTTGGTGACCCATCCACAGATGGAGGGCGTTGCGCTTTTAGCTGGGTGGGGCTGCTGCTATATCTGTGCGGAATCATGTCACCCCTCCTTTTCAATTAATGATCCTTTCCATTGGTCTCCTTCCTGACCTCGTAACGCCTCTTCACCCCTTCCTCTTAGCCCAACTATGAAAATCAGCTCGAAATTGGATGCGCTTAGCTAGTTTGTTCCCGAGCTAGTTTCTGTTTCTTTTTCATTGGTTTGTCAGTTAAATAAAAGGATAAAGTCTTCGCCGTTGATCAATCCCTTTGTGGGATGCGGCACGCATTCTACTTCCATTCAGAATCGTAGGCTTATTGAATGCGATGTGGCCTATACGGTGACTTGCGGTGGAAAGCATGTATCAGTCAGTGTTCTTACCCTCCCAGACGAATCTGGTACCAATTTACAGTCTACTAGGGAAAGAAGGCCTGGTTGGCCTGGGCAGGAGTCTGCCCGAGATTGGAACCCAGGACCGCGCGAACTGGTGAGCGTGCCACTTGCTACTACACCACCTCCGCTTTGGTTATTCAGTTGTCCCCTCCATCCACATTTGGAACCACTATCCACCACTTGAGATCGCACAATGTGCCCCTGAGAAAATGTGCTCTCTAAGCCAATATAAAATTGGAAACGCTTTCCGTTACTTAATTTTATAGAAGTCCCCATATTCCGGCGGACATTCCACTTCCTTCAAGACCGTGGTAGCTCAATTCAGTGTTATGTAGGCCTATACAGTGACCCCTAGACGAATGTGATACCCATGTACCGCCTTCTGAGGGTTGAGAGCTTTGCTGGCCTGCACGAAAGCCAAAGGATTTGACCGCGGAATCGTGTGCATCCTAAGCGGGTCACTTCACTACGCCTATCGTCTTACCTGGACAGATATGATTTTGAAACTCAAACCCAACTCACCACTCCATTACCGTGATGAGCTTTACGTAAAACCTAGGCCCCCATGAAATAATGTGCAATTTGCTAATTTGCTTTCATGACGTCATTGATAAATTTCTTTTACCAGCTTTGTTAGGGGGTAAACGCCAAACTATTCGCGTTGGCCCCGACTGTTGACCTGTTGGAGTTATCAGAAAAGCTTCAGCAAACTAACCGATGTCACTCGTGCCAGCGTGTGTACACCGAATATTGCGAGAAGCAGCGAACCGACGGAGAACACATCCGAATACCGGAGGAATCTGCAATTGAAACCTGAGTCTAAGAGCTTTTATGGTTTCAGAGCGCAACGGATTCTTACGTCTTCGCTTCCTCTCTCATCTCAGCAACGGCGATAATATCGCTGACTATAATGAGAGCACGTACAACGGGCGCCTGAAGTACCATCCATTCCAAACGACGAATATTTTTCCTGAAGAAATTCTCGAGATGCAAGAGAAATCTATCTATAAATCTGTAATTCCAGTCCTTTTACTACCCCAGAGACCTACAGCACAGCCAGGTCTGCACGGGCTAGCCTGCTTTCTCCAGACTCTCTCTCTTCAGGAAAAAACAACACAACTGAAGGAGAAATTGAGAGAATGAATACTACCCGAACAAGAACATACTCAGAAGACTCGGCCGTCGGAAGGAATGGCAGGAGACAGCAGAATGGCGGACTTCTGAAGTCTATCGGTCTCGAGTCGAACTGTAGGCTATTGCAGAACGATGATCGCCCTCCAAATAAATGCCTAAAGACAAACAAATTTAATAAAATTCGTCAGTGCTACTTCGTCTTTATGAATATCATCGCTTATTTCAATAATATTAGGTTGGTCGAAAAGTCCTGCGACACTTTGACCAATTTTTGGGTCTAAATTTTTAGTCACTAAAAGACATCTCCAATCTACAAGGTAATCACCACTAAGGACCTAGGATAGTGCCCTTCTTTTGCACAGCTTCCCAATTTCCATTCTTATAGAACTACGGCAACTATGATAAGAAGAAGAGGTGGACCTCATTTTTGAGTGGACGTCGATTTTCGGAATTTTTGCCTTCTTAAGGATGCGGTAGGGATCAAAAAAGGTAGTAGTTAGAGACTGCTAACTTTGATGAATAAGCTGGGTATGGTCGCATTCTCAGATCAAGATCCACGATCTTTTGGTGTGGCCTGATCCTAACCTGCGGTCTTCGCATTGCCGAGCGGTAGAGAAAAATTGAGTATTTTTGAAGAATTCAAGCGTGACGTCATCCATGTTGTGAGGTTGGTTAGAGTGGACTGTAGTCCTTACCGTTATGCTAGTATCCAGAGATATCGCTTTAAAGTCCCACCAATAACCTACTGAAATCTTTATCCCATGCACATCTGCTTTTGGCTGTGCAATCTACTTTTCTCTCTGAGAGATCCTGCGAGGAACATGTGCAAGATGTACGCAAGGACCCCACCACTCTCTACCAACCACAAGATCTCACAAATGTTCCTCCAGTGTGTACAAGGAAAAAAAACTCAGTCACGGTCATTCGGTATGACTTGTCAGAGGGGTTCAACTCATGAGGCATCCTTCATAAAAAATTTTTCCAATACCGAGGAGTGCGGAAGAAAGCTGGCAGTTGTGTCGTTAGGTGAGCCTAGAAGGTTTGCCATACTTTTACTGTGGTTACGTTCGCGCTGTGGGGCGCTGCAAGAAGCTTAAGTAAAGGGCCGTCATTCTGTGCTGGTGGCCGACCCATACATTGCCTACTTCCGAGTTGAATAAGTCCAGCCTGGAAGCGCTGATGCAAAAGGAACTCTCTGCTGTGGCAAGCGATATCCTTCCTCAAGACAACGTAAGTGTCAGCTTCCTCGACTACGGCGGGGTGGCCCTAGAGGAACTCATAATATGGGACAGGTCCAAAAGTACCTCGACCTCTGGGGAACTTTTAAGCTTTGAAAACTTCCTCAAAGCCATGATATACCCATGTGCAGAAACCTCAGAGGACACTCTCCACTAATCAGGGATAAAAACATCCAAAATGATTTTTGGTCTTTTTCCAGAACAATTTAATCAAAGTGTCGCAGGACTTTTCGACCAACCTAATAATATGATGATATCAGTATTTAACTAAGTGATAAGTGGAATATAAATTGTTGATAATTTAATCGAAGGGCTATCTCTGAGAACAGAATCCACTGGCCCGCAATATTGGTTTGATAACTGCTGTTTTACGCCGCAATTCGCGTTCCGAAAGTTATCACAAGAATGCTGAGTTATGGGCAAAAGTCGTGCCCCAGGCGGGAGTCGAACCCGCACCTCACGCTTTCCGGGCGAGTGCGCTATCCGTTACGCCACCAGGGCCTATTTTACCCTCTCAGCTTAACGGCTTTTATGCCGTGTAAAGCCTTACACAGCACTCACACGTCTTGAACTTGGTGGTGGCTGTAAGGCTGCGGCATAAAAGCCGTTAAGCTGAGAGGTAAAAGCGGCCCTGGTGGCGTAACGGATAGCGCACTCGCCCGGAAAGCGTGAGGTGCGGGTTCGACTCCCGCCTGGGGCACGACTTTTGCCCATAACTCAGCATTCTTGTTGGCTGAATATGCTACTGCAAAAAGTTAAGGGCCCAAAAATTTGGTTTGTATATTTTTTGAGGCAGTGAGAGTAATAGTTTATTCTGAAAATTTATTACTTTGAAGCCATAATTTACTGGCCTTAAAAAGGCAGTTGGCACGATGGTTTCCTACTTAGCCTAAATGCTAGTAGGGCGCTGTATAGTGGGGAAATGGCGAAAGAACGGAGTGAAACGGTCAAAATCCTGCGAAGAAAAAGCCTTTTCTCAGTGACTTGTAAATCGATTTCGGACGAGTTTCCGTAGGCATCTTACCAATCACCGCTACCGAAGATACGGCTGCATATGTGTACTCATATATCCATGCAGCATCACGGCTGCTTCATACCAATCCCTTCGCTTCATAATTTGCTTAGCAAATGAATGAATACGAGCGTCAGGAACGGTCGTCCATTTGTGGGGGCGGGCGGGCGTTTGGGACGTAAAGTTGTGGCTTGATAGGGCCCTTATAAGGGCACCTTCCTCGGGGAAACCGCTATGCAGCGCCTGCCCAGGGTCGCGGAATTCTATCCTGCCAGGAGTATTGATCCTAGTCGCCTTGGGGGATTTATCGTGCCAACTGCCTTTATGGGCTTCAGTCCCATTAAACATACCTGCAGAGTGAGACGATAACGAATAGGCACATAAGATAGTAAAGGAGACCAAGTGCTGTCATGATCAGCGATGTTCGTGGCGCCAGCATTCCAATAAGACAACAACTGGTCGACACCTGAAATATTGCGCACAAAGTCCAAGGCTTCTGGGATACAAAATCACAACGACGCTGGATATCTCGTCTACATAGAAGGTTTAGCACGCTGACTTGTACATACCCTGGCTACACAAGACTATGCATGCGACTGCTCCTATAATAGTAGATGGAAGCAGCGCATGTCCTGGTAGGGCGACATTTTGAAAAAAAAATTCCCCTCTCCCTCGAAGTCCATCAACGGAAAAGTGTTTTTCCCCACCCATCCACTATCACAACGAGTAAAGTGCAGCTGGC